TATTGAAATAGACTAAAAAAAATATAAAATAGCGCTTAATTCCATCCCTAAATCATACCATTTAGTGAATATTTATTTTAGTGACATTTACGTCACAAATCAAATTTTTCAGTTGAAAATCAGGTTGAGCACCTCTTAATAAAAAATTTGTTTATCTTAATCCTCAAAGAATTTCTTCTTGAAATCTTTTGTGTTGAAAACTAAACTCAAAACCAAATCATAACATCATAGTTTAAATCCCAAATAATAATTTTCTTTAGAGAAATAAATAAGTGACATTCACGTCACAAAATAAATCATACTGCAGAATTTTAGGATCAACACTATCTAGTAAACTTGTCTTTTCTCTTTCTACCATCATGGAGTTTTCCTTTCAAACAAATTTTATTTGAAATTAGACACATAATAGTAACACATATATTTTCACAAGCCTTATAGCACTCTGTTAAATAGGCTTGATAAATATAGCTATTCATGTCTTTAATTAAGGACATACCAAATTACAGAAAATTCAGGATGACCTCTTTTCAATCTAAAATTTGTATTCCTCTATTCCCATAGATATTTCATCTCAAATAAATTTTATTAGAAATTAGACTCAGAATGGAAGTTAAAAACTTAGTGTAAACTATAAAACATTATGTTAAGAATAGAAATTAAATCTTAACTTCTAAGTCATAAAAATAATTTTCGTTGCAGAAAACAACACTTGCGTATCCTTCAATAAATTGATCATATCTTCACACCACAAGGACTTTCTTGATGAAACTTTTTTTGTTTGAAAGTAGACTCAATTTTATGAGTCGCAGTCCACTTTCAGCTAGAAATAAAATTATATGATTGGTGAGAAAAATCACGGAACTCAATAGGCAGTTCTTGAATTTTACATGGTCAGAACTGACACCCTTCATTGTTGAGTCCATAGCTCTCAATTCCTATAGGATATCCTATTGAAATTTTACAGGTAAATCCTACTCTTAAATACGCAAAATATCACTGAAGTATGTAATAGAAAAATACCTCATTATATTTTTCATATCTCTACTCCAAAATAGCCTAGAATACTTATTATGCAGAGTGCCTTTTCGGTGTTGGAATATTTCAATAATTCTTAACCGTGGGTATATTTCTTGACCACAAAGGTCATTAGCTTTCTTATATCTCATTCCAAAGTTTGATCTAAACTCAATATAGAAAAAAGATAACTAATGACATCAAGTTTCAATAGCTCTGATACCAATGAAAGAAAGACCGATGTGATCTTTTACTTGGGAATATATATATAT